AGAGTAAGCTTTACATGCTTGATTTTTGTCCACAATATACATACAGTATGGGTTGTAGAGGCGTTGATCATCATATTTACATAAAACTCATTTAAGATTAGATTGAAAATCAAAAATCTTTTATTTAAAAGGTTTAAAATAATGTTTTTTGATATTGTAATGATTAGCAAATAAACAATTTCAATTCTTTTTCAATTCAAAATAAAAATAAATTATTTACCGACAAAATAGAAAATGTAGAAAGATAAAACTAGATTTATGAAAAATAGTCATATTTGGATAAATATGAGAAATATAAACGTTTTCTTTTTATATCAATTCGATGTATTTATACAAATTGCATCAAGAAAAAAAGTTAAAATAGTTTTGTATCATTATGAACAATATTGACAATTCTTTTCTCATTCATTTTATTCTCTTTTATTAAATTGATTTCGATATGAATGCGATTAATTCTTCATACTTTAAGATCTATTTTAAAAAATCATCAGAACCAAAGATAAAAAAATCCATTCAAATCAAATTAATTAAATTTATTTTCAAATAGAGAAACAATTTTATTAAATAAATTTTAAATTAGATTGAATTCAAATTACAATTAAATTAATTTATATCATTTTTATTTTATTACATTTTAAAATAACAATTTTTTATTTACATTTATATATCAGTTTCATTCAAATATAAATAAAATCGTTTTTCTCTTAGAGCAATCTTTTCTTTTCAATCATATTAATATCAAAACAAAATGGAAACAACATGGAGTTACTATTGCTGGAGGAAATAAAAGTGGCAATCAGTTAAATCAACTCGATCATCCTCGTAGTATCTATATTGATGATGATCATCAAACTATTTATATTGCTGATTGGGAAAATCATCGTATTGTTGAATGGGAATATGGAGCAAAGACAGGGCAAATTGTTGCAGATAGAAATGAATATGGAAATCGAAGTGATCAATTAAGTGGTCCAAGAGATATGATTGTTGATAAAACGAATGATTCTATTATAATTTCTGATTATGGAAACAGTCGAGTGGTACGATGGCCTCGTCAAAATGATAAAAAAGGAGAAACAATCATTTCTAACATTGATTGTTATGGTCTGACAATGGATAAAAATGGAGATCTTTATGTCTCTGACTATGCGAACAACGAAGTGAGACGATGGAAACAAGGAGAGACAGAAGGAACAATAGTTGCAGGTGGAAACGGACAAGGAAATCAACTCAATCAGCTTCATCTTCCTACTCATATCTTCGTTGATGAAGATCACTCAGTTTATGTATCAGATCTCTACAATCATCGTGTGATGAAATGGATGAAAGGGGCAAAAGAAGGTATTGTTGTTGCTGGTGGAAATAGTGAAGGAGATAGTTTGACACAATTGTCTAATCCTTATGGAGTGATTGTCGATCATTTGGGTAATGTTTATGTGGCTGACCGTGATAATCATCGAATAATGCGTTGGTGTAAAGGATCTAAGGAAGGTAGTATTGTTGTTGGTGGAAATGGAAAAGGAGAACAACGAAACCAGTTTAATTATCCCAGAGGTTTAACATTTGATGTTCAAAGTAATCTTTATGTTGTCGATTGTTGGAATCATCGAATACAAAAATTTGATATTGATTTGTATTAAACTTGTTGAGATTGATGATGAAATGAATAATTAAATTTTTTGTGAAAATATTATTGTTTATTTTGATTGAAAACTAAATAAATGTAAAAATTCAAAATGAATTTTTGTTAATAATTTAATTAACTTTGATTTATTTGTTAGTTTTGTTGTGGTTGATTTAATACTGTATTTTAATAATTAAGATAAGATTTTGTGATTCCATTGAGATACATATCGAAGGGAGTTTTAAATTCTATTGAATATGTGATACCTTGAGAGAATAGAAAAGTAACATGGAAGAATATTGTGGTGTTTTAAAGTTGTGAGTATATGAATAAATAAAATGAATGATAAAATGAAATAGATCGAATTAATGTTTTTTGTGTAAATAAAATTATTTTTAAAATACATAAATTTATTAGTTGATTTAAGTTAATCTATTGTGTTGAGAATAATGATAATGAAATATTTGTTATTTCAATTTTGAATTTATTAAGTCTGATAAAGTGATAAGAGGAATTGATCGATTTTGTGATAAAATAAGGTTTGATGATATCGTTTTTTGTCAGCATTGAAATAATAAAGAAAGAACAAGAGATAATAGTGACGATGTTTTATAAATAAAATATGAATGATAACTAAGATGATTTATTCACAGAATTGATTTTAACAAATTTCAAATAAATAAATTAGATAATTTATCTTCCTCAATCAATTGAAAAGAAAGAAGAATTGTAAAATATATGAATAATTATTATATTATTTTCTTGAGATTTGTATGGAAAAAGTTAAAATAAAAAACTGATTGAAAGTTGAATGATGTACAATATGATTATCTTTATCATAGCATAGAATGACAAATAGATTTGATTTTATGATAAATATATTCATAAAGTGACAAAAATGATTGTTATTGAATAAGATTTACTATTTAAGAAATTATTATGAAATTTGATTAAAGAAAATTATATTGAAATTAATTTGTTATTCTAGTAAAAATGAAATGAAAATTGTGTCTCTATGATCATCGTCATATGTTTATGTGTGTTTAATAAAATGGCGATAAATCATAATTGAATATAAATTTGATTAATAAAATCTATAATGGAACATACCATGATTATTTACACATTATTGCTTTTCTACGGTGCGATATTTACCACATTTTACTTTTACTCAAGAATAGTTAGTGATGAGTATAAATATTCACCAAATAATTGCTAAACGACAATAGATGTTATTGTGCTACAAAAAAATATATTTATAAAATTTAAAAATCAATACAAAATGCATTCATTCATAAATTATTGTCTAGAATATTTCATGAATCGAAAAAATTTAACGACTAAACTTCTATCTTGAGGGTGTGAGTGAGATTGTTGGTATATCAGTAATATTTCTGTCATGTCATACCCACACTCTCACGAAGAATGTTTTATCTTTAACGGTGTACGGGTGTCCTGATTCGGATGAGAATGTACGTATAGTAATTATATTCATCTATTAACCATTTTCACTCATCTATACACTCAATATCGTTTAACACATGTTCTTGAAATAATTCTAAAATCTATATTCTTTCACTTATGATACTAATGTCAGATATCATTAATAAATAAACACAAATATCTTTTCATTGATCATTTATACAGACTTAAAAAATTGGATTACCTGATGAATTCCAAAGAACTTCGTTGTTTTGCTTAATGTGACTAGAAATGAAGAAACACTCATCGACTCTATAATTTATCATATATAATTGTTATTTTTCATTCTAAAGATAATGCGACGTCTCCATCGACCTATCTCGAGGATGATATTCAGGAGCTATTCTCAACATTCTCTAATTCAAAAAAAAATTAATTTTTGTTAACACTTATTTTTCTAATATTTATTATCTTAAATTAGAAAGTGGTCATCCTTTAATAACAAATATTGCTTTTTCTTTGAAAAAGTCAGTTGAGTAACTTCCATTCGATCAGAAGTTTGCAAAAACTATTCTCAGGATAACTGATTATGGCTCATGTTGAAAAAATACGCTTTATAATTCTAGAATCAGAGAAACACATTGATTTTTCACTTTTTATCATCAGATCATACATACTAAAGGTTAAAATTTGTCATTGATAAATATTCTTTATGAAATAAATTAACAGAATATAAGTTATAGCGAACATGATTTAGTATTTATTCTGATTCTGTAACGAAAAATCAAGTAATATATCTTCAGGTAAAGACGACTAACTACATTTAACGTTACGAGCCAATCAAAGGAGATATTATTCTTTCTTTCTTTTTCCACTATACCTTTATAAAAAAAAGGCGTGCGAATATTGTTTTTATATATATTTACCATACGTGACAAAAAAACGAAGCTTTACATATTATAAAACACAAGATTTTAACAAAACAAAGAATATGACGGATGAACCTATTTATTTCTATGATCTTGATGCACCATATGGTGAATTTGGTAATTTTTATCCGGCTCCAATTCAATTAGATGGACTCACTTGGCCAACAAGTGAACAATATTTTCAAGCACAAAAGTTTATTTTACAAAGAGAGCAATATATGCATATTTTAGAATCACCTACTCCTCGAAAAGCATTTGATTATGCTCGAGCTCATACTTCATTAGTACGTTCCGATTGGGATTATGTAAAAGATGATATTATGTATGACGCATGTTTAGCAAAATTTCAACAACATCCAAAACTGAAAGAATTATTATTATCAACTGGTGATCGTACTTTAATTGAACATACAAAAAATGATTCTTATTGGGCTGATGGAGGAGATGGAACAGGAAGAAATCAATTAGGAATTACTCTAATGAAAGTTAGACACCAACTTAGCCATCATCATTAAAATATTAAAATTATGAACTTTATTACAAAAGATAGTTTTTCTATATGAACTAATAAATCTTTGAATTATAATTTATTTTCCACGATAGTTTACTGTAAAAAATAAGACAATAATTGCATCGGAGAGATATAAGCTACAAAACACGCACATTTTTTTGTATTCCTTTCAGACTCTGTTGTATCATACATGTGACGCATACTATCTCTCGCTTATACAACGTGTATACAAAAAAAAAATAGAAAGAAAGAATGCATCCATTACATATAAATTTCAGCCTCTGTCCTAGACGTCTATTGGTGTTTTATTGAGAGATAAGAATGACTCACAAGCTTACACATTCTAATCCATACAATTAATTTGACAGACATAAATTGAATATCAACGTGAATGAGGTGTTATATTTTCTTGTTTTATTGTGTCTTTTATATAACACAATAACACTATCATTTCTCCTTTATGACATGTATCTTTAATACTTTTTCGTTTATTTTCATTCGAAAAAGATCAAACATGACAACCACCGATCATAGTCAGATGATGAAGCAATGGCAGTTTACAAAAGCTGGAAATCCTCGAGATGTTTTAACAATGGTTGAAGTACCTATTCCAACTACATGCACCGATAATGAAGTACTTATAAAGATCAGTCATGTTTCATTGAATTCATCGATAGCGAATCGACTTATAGCATATTATGGTGTCGTTGATCCGATAGGTGCATTCATAGGCAGACCTGCTGTGCCCGAAGTGGACTTCAGTGGAATTGTCTGTGATTTACGAGGTGCAAATGTAACA